ACAGATACAGACATACTTCTGTTTCCAGTAGCGTGGCTAATAGTGATCGTGGGGTTTAATAGTTTTCATATATGCATATATATATATATATATATATATATATATATATATATATATATATATATATATATATATATATATATATATATATATAACCAAACAAAGTTTTATTGTTATTATATAGGTGTCCAACTCTCCTGTCTTTATTATACAACAATTCAATATTGCAAATAGGCTTGAGAATCCGGCTGAATCTGGTTCCAAATTGTTGTTGGGTGAAAGCATATTTTTCAACCAAATATTTTAAAAGCATTTGTGAAATAGGTACAAATGACTTCCAGTTTTATTAAGGCTAGAAATATCCAAACAAATAATTCTTAGTACTATAATTTAGCAAACATTTTTATTTTTTATTTGGATTAGAAGAGTCAGGATGTTATATAATTTAATATAAATAAACCACTAGGTCACTAGGCTATACACTAAAGACAGCTATTGTGTATTTATCATGAAAAACAATTGTTCTGAAATTCATTGTTTTACTTTCCGTCGCCATTCAGGTCGACTTCAAAGAGAGGTTGAGGGTGTTTTTTATTTTTTTTATTTTTTTAATTAATAAAATAATTCAAAACGGCTTTTTAACAGAACATAGTCAATAAAAAAAAAACGTAAGTGGGCCTTATTATACTTTTTGCTTTTCAAAAGCCTTTAACATACACAGACATACCGACAAAGTTGCAGTACTATGTTTTTCAGGGAGGTGTAAAACGTCGAGATGTTTGCACGATTCTTCCAGTCTAGAAAAGTGAAATTTCTTAAAAAATCATGTTTGCGGACAAGCTTGGAGTATTATAAATGTTCACTAAATTGAATCAGGCGCGTCCGCCGGCGCCACAGCGGGATTCAATTTGGCGACCTGGGCTATCCTGTGAGCGCTATGGTGCATAATTTCGTTTTAAACATTGTGATAGATTATGGATAAGAAAGGTTACTATAGTCTTTAACTGAATCAAATCCGGGCATCCTCCGGCGCCCCGACAGGGTGCTATTTGGCGCCCCAAACGCTATGGCGCCTACGTTCATTTAAGTGAGTGCAAAAGACTTTGAATAAGTAGGGGTACTATAGTCGTTTATTAAGTTGAATCAAGTAGTTCCGCCGGTGCCCTAGAATGGTGCGGTTTGATTATGTTTATAATTACTAAACACACAAGTCATGGTCCATTACAGATAGGTTTTTCACAGAGACCTGGCCGGGCCTGGCTGGGAAGGCTAGTATATATATATATATATATATATATATATATATATATATATATATATATATATATATATATATATATATATATATATAAATATATATAAATAAATATAAATAACTATATATATATATATATATATATATATATATATATATATATATATATATATATATATATATATATATATATATATATATCCTCTGTGCGACTCACGTGTCTGTCCACTCCCCAACTTTGATGTACTTGAATTCGTCCTTGACCCTCTGGAACTGAAAGATATCGTAGCGGCCGAGACTGTCCCCGTTCTTGTTAAACTGGATCTCTGCGCCACTAATACCTTAGAAAATTAAAGGGATGCAGGTGAGAACCAGATTTCAGAGACAGGTGACACATACAGATAGCAGATTGAGTATGGAAGAAGAAAATGTGCTGACCTGTAAAAGATACGTTCCGAATGTACTGGAGAAACGTGGGGCCATGGAGCTGCTTGAGAACGGGACACCTGGGGAATTCCCCGGGACACTGGGCTGCCATCATGTCGTGTACAGCGTGCGCTAGAGCGAAGACCGAGTCAATGACAAACTGGACCAGACCCTCCTGCTTGTAGTGGCGCCACTTGTCCAGCCTCTCCTCACCTGCAAAGGTCGGGCAGTCGCATTTCTTTTTGGGTTAAGGGCTCTCCGCTAATGGGATTGTGTATGTTTGGGTTAAGGGCTCTCCGCTAATGGGATTGTGTATGTTTGGGTTAAGTGCTCTCCGCTAATGGGAATGCGTATGTTTGGGTTAAGGGCTGTTTGATTAGTGATAGAAAAAACTTGTCGCAAATAAGGTTACCAAAGTAAAATAACAGCAGTTAAATCACAGAAGTAAAGTCACAGAAAGAAATTTACCTAAATAATGTCATATATATATATATATATATATATATATATATATATATATATATATATATATATATATATATATAGTCGGAAAAAACATAGTTTTGCAATTTTGTCCGTATGTCTGTCTGTCTCTCTCTCTCTCACTCTCTCTCTCTCTGTGTATGTCTGTGAACACGATAACATGAGTAACGTTATAGTTAGTTAAATGAAATTTCATATAAAAGTATAATGTCAAATTTGTAGTTCTCTTTCAACTTTCCGGTAAACGGAAGTGGAAATAATTCTTCTTTTAGTTCTTCAAAAGCCTATAACGAGTATTATTTCAGATAAACGAACTTTCACACATAAGTAAACGATCTAATTTTCTGCCTTCTGTCAAATGTTTAGTGTCTGAATTTATTAAGTACTAATAATATTCCGCACTATTATACACATATTGTTTGCCGTTCACTTGGTGCGCAATTCTTTTTCCTACGAGATTCTATTCTATTTTTAAAAGTTTAAGTAATTAAATAAATGGATTAAAATCATGTCTATATCCCTAGTTGCCATCCCCCGTAATGTTATATAACAATATTCGAGTAAGTTTAGGGGAGACCACTCCCGATTCATTTATTTTTACTGAGGAAGCATTCTAATCGTGCTGAAAAATTTCACAGGTGTTTTGACAGTTTTTGCCTGATTACATCTCCCGACTTTAAAAGATGTATTGCAACTGTGCGAAAATTGTCAATCGAAATCTTGACAAATGTTAACATTTCATAACCTTCCAAAGCCTGAAAAAACAATTTTTTGCCATCCTGTCTGTGGTGGCGTAGATGCTGGTGTAGGATTGACAATGCACGTGACGGAGACGATCGACGAAGCACGGGTTAGAATTAGGTTGTAATTACGGGCGACATCATTGTGGGGGGTAGGTGTAGCAGACACGTAACTAGTTGGCCTGGGTGACCGTAATGGGGGTAGTTTATTAGCAGGGTCTGACATTTTAATCAGGTACTCCAGAACTGTGGCGACATGCAAGTTAGGTTAGACCGGATGGACAAGACAAAGAAGTGAGGACGATGAGGGTTAGGAGACAGTCGAATCTAGGCAGTCGAGGGTTGAGACTTTGTAGAGAAAGGACGTATACAAGTGTAGAGTTAGGGAACAGTGCAGTGACCATAGTATAGAGAACATTGACCTGTAGGTGTAGGCAACAAGGGTATAGTGTGTAGTAACGTGAATCCGATTATATTCAATCATAGGATGTATAATAATTAAATGTTGTGTATCAAACTGATCTTCGAGTTTTATTGAATACACGGGATTGAGAGTATTCTCGTCCTCGTCACAGTATTAAACTATATATGTGGAGACTGATAGTACTTCGTATTTAAGAAGGACACTAATAATAAGAAGAGAAGGCAAATTTCCCCCACCGCACTGTCCGTCCGTCTGTCGGTGTGTATATAAATACGTACACACCTAAGCAGTGAAAAGAAACCTTATTTTAGTCTAGTTCTTATGCCATTTTATTTTCTCCATTTAATTACTTTATATACAATAGATGTTCGTGTTTTGTAAGCTGTGTAAAACTACCAAATAAATTATTATTACTATTTTAAATGTTTAAAATAAATTAAAACAGTGTACAATTTAAGTAAGGTAGAATAAATTTTCGGAGATTACTGGAAGAAACACTGGGGGGGGGGGGGTGGAGGAGGCGCGAATATAGACCCAGTCTCCGACCATAAAGAAACATTGAAACCTTCAAAACATTATGGTTTTCAAAACTATTCGAGACTTCAAAACATTAAGGTTTTCAAAACTATTCGAGACTTCAAAAAATTATGGTTTTCAAAACTATTCGAGACTTCAAAGCATGTAACACTTCGTAACGTTAAGAAATTAAAAAAAAAATATTCGGAATATGAAGCATTGAACACTTCAAAACTTTTAGGAATTCAAAGCATTTAACACTTCAAAACATTTAGGAACTCTGCTACTTAAGTCACGTGTGCTACTTAAGTCATGTAAGCTACTTAAGTTATATGTGCTATTTAAGTCATGTGTGCTACTTAAGTCATGTGTGCTAATTAATTCATGTGTGCTACTTAAGTCATGTATGCTACTTAAGTCATGTGTGCTACTTAAGTCATGTGTGCTACTTAAGTCATGTGGGATACTAATGTTAAAGTCATGTCTGCTATTTATAATAAAGTCACGTGTGCTACTTAAGCCATGTGTGCTACTAATTTTAAGTCATACGTGCTACTTAAGTCATGTGTGCTACTTAAGTCATGTGTGCTATTTAAGTCATGTGTGCTACTTAAGCCACGTGTGCTACTTAAGTCTTGTGTGCTACTAATTTAAAGTCATGTGTGCTACTTAATCCGTGTTTGCTACTTAAGTCATGTGTGCTACTTAAGTCATGTGTGCTACTAATTTTAAGTCATGTATGCTACTTAAGTCATGTGTGCTACTTAAGTCATGTGTGCTACTTAAGTCATGTGTGCTACTAATTTTAAGTCATGTATGCTACTTAAGTCATGTGTGCTACTTAAGTCATGTGTGCTACTAATTTTAAGTCATGTATGCTACTTAAGTCATGTGTGCTACTTAAGTCATGTGTGCTACTAATTTTAAGTCATGTATGCTACTTAAGTCATGTGTGCTACTAATTTTAAGTCATGTATGCTACTTAAGTCATGTGTGCTACTTAAGTCATGTGTGCTACTAATTTTAAGTCATGTATGCTACTTAAGTCATGTATGCTACTTAAGTCATGTGTGCTACTTAAGTCATGTGTGCTACTAATTTTAAGTCATGTATGCTACTTAAGTCATGTGTGCTACATAAGCCATGTGTGCTACTACCGTGACGTGTTATCCCTGTGTCGTGTGCTTTGCTTGCGAGTACTCACGTGCACGTGAATTTAATCTCATTAGAAACAAGAGGCTGTGAAATCGATCCCGAGAAAAGCGTGACGTCATCCGGACGCTGAAGGGAGCTAATTTGTTACCCTGTCAAATATTTATCTCGCTAGACGGAACTAATTAGTGGAATTATGTCGCAGAAAAATAGCTTTTCATGACGTTTGCTTAAGGTGGTATTTACCGGTAAATTAATGGTAAGAATATTCATAATTTCAATCGGAGTCTTTGTTGTCGCCTGACAAAGTTGGCAGAAATCCTGAGCATTACTGTCCGCATTCTACATCTGCAAACCTACCCCCCCCCGCCCCACCCCGCCACCACCCCGCCACCAGCACTCACAATGCTGCAACACATGACAAACTAATCCTGCCCTGCATGACGTGACGATTGTGGTATAAATTTAGATGACACATGTCACAAATACAATCACACGTCTCTAACACAATCAAACAAGTCACTTATACAATCACATACGTTACTAATACAATAACATACGTCACTAATACAATCACATACGTTACTTATACAATCACATACGTCACTAATACAATCACATACGTCACTAATACAATCATAATAGTCACTAATACAATCCCATACGTCACTAATACAATCACACATGTCACTAATACAATCACATGCGTTACTTATACAATCACATACGTCATTAATACAATACTATTAGTCACTTTTACAATCCTATTAGTCACTAATACAATCACATACGCCACTAATACAATCCTATTAGTCACTAATACAATCACATACGCCACTTATACAATTACACACGTCACTATTACAATCCTATTAGTCACTTATACAATCACATACGTCACTAATACAATCCTATTAGTCACTAATACAATCACACACGTCACTAATACAATTACTCATGTCACTAATACAATCACACATGTCATTAAAACAATCACATACGTCACTTATATAATCACACACGTCACTAATACAATCCTATTAGTCACTAATACAATCACATACGTCACTTATACAATCAAACATGTCACTAATACAATCACATACGTCACTTGTACAATCACACACCTCACTAATACAATCCTATTAGTCACTAATACAATCACATACGTCACTAATACAATCCTATTAGTCACTTATACAATCACATACGTCACTAATACAATCACACACGTCACTAATACAATCACATACGTCACTTATAGAATCACACACGTCACTAATACAATCACATACGTCACTATACAATCCTATTAGTCACTAATACAATCCTATTAGTCACTAATACAATCTCATACATCACTAATACAATCACACACGTCACTAATACAACCATAGGGAACAGCTTGTTAAGCCAATTTAGCAGTTAACCCAAAAGTCTTAAGTTTGAATCCCTGACTCCGAGTCTGTAGGATGTCCTGAGTCCACCCAGCTCAATTGGGTATCTGTCAGTTGTTGTTTTTTGGGTAAGTTAGGGCAACAATGAATAAAGGTAACCGCACCATCCAATCATACATCACCTCTATGGTTCGTCAAGTTCTTAATGGAAACTTTACAACAATCACACATTTCCCTGCTACAATCATACATATCTCTACCACAATCACATATCTTTTATATGTGTATGAAACACCATACCCCCAACCACAACAATCTGGTACATTGATTTCTACCTACTTCCCCCCCCCCAATGCTTGCCGATGCTGCTTTTGCCCCCCTCCCAATGTTTTAGCCCCTCCCCCCACCCATTTATTTCAGATGCTGCTTTTAGTCGCCCCCCCCCCCACAATGCTTGCCGATGCTGTTTTAGCCCCCCCCCCGCTCAATGCTTTAGCCCCCCCCCCTCCCAATGATTTAGCCCCACCCTCAATTCTTTAGCCCCCCTTCCACTCCCAATGATTTAGCCCCACCCCCAATGCTTTAGCCCCCCCCCCCCACCCCCAATGCTTTAGCCCCCCCCCAATGCTTTAGCCCCCCCCCCCCCCCCCACTCCCAATGATTTAGCCCCACCCCCAATGCTTTAGCCCCCCCCCCCACTCCCAATGTTTTAGCCCCACCCCCAATGCTTTAGCCCCCCCCCCCCCCCACTCCCAATGTTTTAGCCCCACCCCCAATGCTTTAGCCCCCACCCCCCACTCCCAATGCTTTAGCCCCCCCCCCCCCCCAATTAATTTAGTCCCTCACTTACCAGTGCACGGCCTGGCACCTCTCTGATAATTGCCGATGCTGCAATTAAAGATGTCAGCCCAGAATTCTTTGAACCAGGGATTGCGCGTGTTATTCAAGGTCAAATTTAAAAAGTAGTTATCGAAACCTGGACAGATGAAGGATTTGTATATCTGGACATTGTTAGATTTATTGCAACCTTAATAAGTGAAGAAAACAGCTGCTAAGCTGTCATGACATGAATCTTTAAGTTAAGCCTACCAATATGACATAAATATGACATGAATCTTTAAGTTAAGCCTACACTTATGACATGAATCCTTAAGTTAAGCCAACCAATATGACATAAATAGGACATGAATCCTTAAGTTAAGCCAACCAATATGACATAAATATGACATGAATCTTTAAGTTAAGCCTACCAATATGACATAAATATGACATGAATCCTTAAGTTAAGACTAACAATATGACATAAATATGACATGAATCCTTAAGTTAAGCCTACCAATATGACATAAATATGACATGAATCCTTAAGTTAAGCCTACCAGTATGACATAAATATGACATGAATCCTTAAGTTAAGCCTACCAATATGACATAAATATGACATGAAGCCTTAAGTTAAGCCTACCAATATGACATAAATATGACATGAATCCTTAAGTTAAGCCTACCAGTATGACATAAATAATACATGAATCCTTAAGTTAAGCCTACCAATATGACATAAATATGACATGAATCCTTAAGTTAAGCCTACCAATATGACATAAATATGACATGAATCCTTAAGTTAAGCCTACCAATATGACATTATTATACATGAATCCTTAAGTTAAGCCTATAAATATGACATAAATATGACATGAATCCTTAAGTTAAGCCTACAAGTATGACATGAATCCTTAAGTTAAGCCTACCAGTATGACATAAATCCTTAAGTTAAGCCTACCAATATGACATGAATCCTTAAGTTAAGCCTACAAATATGACATAAATATGACATGAATCCTTAAGTTAAGCCTAACAATATGACATAAATATGACATGAATCCTTAAGTTAAGCCTACCAATATGACATAAATATGACATGAATCCTTACGTTAAGCCTACCAATATGACATAAATATGACATGAATCCTTAAGTTAACCCTACTAGTATGACATGAATCCTTAAGTTAAGCCTACCAGTATGACATAAATATGACATGAATCCTTAAGTTAAGCCTACCAATATGACATGAATCCTTAAGTTAAGCCTATCAATATGACATAAATATGACATGAATCCATAAGTTAAGCCTACCAGTATGACATGAATCCTTAATTTAGCCTACCAATATGACAAAAATATGAAATGAATCCTTAAGTTAAGTCCACCAATATAACATGAATCCTTGAGTAAAGCCTACCAATATGACATAAATTTGACATGAATCCTTAAGTTAAGCCTACCAATATGACATGAATCCTTAAGTTAAGTTTACCAATATGACATAAAGAGGACACGAATCCTTAAGTTAAGCCTACCAATATGACATAAATTTGATATGAATCCTAAAGTTAAGCCTACCAATATGACATGAATCCTTAAGTTAAGTTTACCAATATGACATAAAGAGGACATGAATCCTTAAGTTAAGCCTACCAATATGACATAAATTTGACATGAATCCTAAAGTTAAGCCTACCAATATGACATGAATCCTTAAGTTAAGCCTACCAATATGACATAAATATGACATGAATCCTTAAGTTAAGCCTACCAATATGACATAAATATTGCATGAATCCTTAAGTTAAGCCTACCAATATGACATGAATCCTTAAGTTAAGCCTACCAATATGACATAAATATGACATGAATCCTTAAGTTAAGCCTAACAATATGACATAAATATGACATGAATCCTTACGTTAAGCCTACCAATATGACATGAAGCCTTAAGTTAAGCCTACCAATATGACATAAATATGACATGAATCCTTAAGTTAAGCCTACCAGTATGACATGAATCCTTTAGTTAAACCTACCAATATGACATGAATCCTTAAGTTAAGCCTACCAATATGACATAAATTTGACATGAATCCTTAACTTAAGCCTACCAATATGACATGAATCCTTAAGTTAAGTTTACCAATATGACATAAAGAGGACATGAATCCTTAAGTTAAGCCTACCAATATGACATAAATTTGACATGAATCCTAAAGTTAAGCCTACCAATATGACATGAATCCTTAAGTTAAGCCTACCAATATGACATGAATCCTTAAGTTAAGCCTACCAATATGACATAAATATGACATGAATCCTTAAGTTAAGCCTACCAATATGACATAAATATGACATGAATCCTTAAGTTAAGCCTAACAATATGACATAAATATGACATGAATCCTTAAGTTAAGCCTACCAATATGACATAAATATGACATGAATCCTTAAGTTAAGCCTACCAATATGACATGAATCCTTAAGTTAAGCCTACCAATATGACATAAATATGGCATGAATCCTTAAGTTAAGCCTACCAATATGACATGAATCCTTAAGTTAAGCCTACCAATATGACATAAATATGACATGAATCCTTAAGTTAAGCCTAACAATATGACATAAACATGACATGAATCCTTAAGTTAAGTCTACCAGTATAACATGAATCCTTAAGTTAAACCTACCAGTATGACATGAATCCTTAAGTTAAGCCTACCAATATGACATAAATATGACATGAATCCTTAAGTTAAGCCTACCAAAATGGCATAAATCCTTAAGTTAAGCCCACCAGTATGACATGAATCCTTAAGTTAAACCTTATAATATGACATGAATCCTTAAGTTAAACCTTATAATATGACATGAATCCTTAAGTTAAGCCTACCAATATGACATAAATATGACATGAATCCTTAAGTTAAGCCTACCAAAATGGCATAAATCCTTAAGTTAAGCCCACCAGTATGACATGAATCCTTAAGTTAAACCTTATAATATGACATGAATCCTTAAGTTAAACCTTATAATATGACATGAATCCTTAAGTTAAGCCTACCAATATGACATAAATATGACATGAATCCTTAAGTCAAACCTACCAATATGACATAAATATGACATGAATCCTTAATTTAAACCTACCAGTATGACATGAATCCTTAATTTAAACCTACCAATATGACATGAATCCTTAAGTTAAGCCTACCAATATGACATGAATCCTTAAGTTAAGCCTACCAAAATGACATGAATCCTTAAGTTAAGCCTACCAATATGACATGAATCCTTAAGTTAAACCTACCAATATGACATAAATCCTTAAGTTAAACCTACCAATATGACATAAATATGACATGAATCCTTAGGTTAAGCCTACCAATATGACATAAATATGACATGAATCCTTAAGTTAAGCCTACCAATATGACATAAATCTTTAAGTTAAACCTACCAATATGACATAAATATGACATGAAGCCTTAAGTTAAGCCTACCAATATGACATAAATCCTTAAGTTAAGCCTACCAATATGACATAAATATGACATGAATCCTTAAGTTAAGCCTACCAATATGACATAAATATGACATGAATCCTTAAGTTAAACCTAATAATATGACATGAATCCTTAAGTTAAGCCTACCAATATGACATAAATATGACATGAATCCTTAAGTTAAGCCTACCAATATGACATAAATCCTTAAGTTAAACCTACCAATATGACATAAATATGACATGAATCCATAAGTTAAGCCTACCAATATGACATAAATCCTTAAGTTAAGCCTACCAATATGACATAAATATGACATGAATCCTTAAGTTAAGCCTACCAATATGACATAAATATGACATGAATCCTTAAGTTAAACCTAATAATATGAGATGAATCCTTAAGTTAAGCCTACCAATATGACATAAATATGACATGAATCCTTAAGTTAAGCCTACCAATATTAAATGAATCCTTAAGTTAAGCCTACCAATATGACATAAATATGACATGAATCCTTAAGTTAAGCCTACCAATATGACATGAATCCTTAAGTTAAGCCTACCAATATTAAATGAATCCTTAAGTTAAGCCTAACCTTCTATGGGTCTCCTGGTGGGTAAAATGGTAACAGTACCCTCAGCTTCAGGCTCCTGTCTGTAGACCGGGTGCACCTTGGCGCCCCAACTGTCGCTGGCCAGCAGATAAACCGACTCGGTCTTGTTTAGGTCGCTTATAGCACGAACAACTCGTCTGTGGTACAAGACAGGTTTAGACAGGTTTACATATGACAGGTTTAAACAGGTTTAGACATGACAAATTTAGATATGACAGGTTTAGATATGACAGGTTTAGACAGGTTTAAATATGACAGGTTTAGATATGACAGGTTTAGATATGACAGGTTTAGATATGACAGGTTTAGATATGACAGGTTTAGATATGACAGGTTTAGATATGACAGGTTTAGATATGACAGGTTTAGACAGGTTTAGATATGACAGGTTTAGATATGACAGGTTTAAACAGGTTTAGATATGACAGGTTTAGATATGACAGGTTTAGATATGACAGGTTTAGATATGAAAGGTTTAGATATGAAAGGTTTAGACAGGTTTAGATATGACAGGTTTAGATATGACAGGTTTAAACAGGTTTAGATATGACAGGTTTAGATATGACAGGTTTAGATATGACAGGTTTAGATATGAAAGGTTTAGACAGGTTTAGATATGACAGGTTTAGATATGACAAGTTTAGATATGACAGGTTTAGATATGACAGGTTTATATATGACAGGTTTAGATATGACAGGTTTAGATATGACAGGTTTAGATATGACAGGTTTAGATATGACAGGTTTAGATATGACAGGTTTAGATATGACAGGTTTAGACAGGTTTAGATATGACAGGTTTAGATATGACAGGTTTAGATATGACAGGTTTAGAAATGACAGGTTTAGATATGACAGGTTTATATATGACAGGTTTAAACAGGTTTAGATATGACAGGTTTAGATATGACAGGTTTAGATATGACAGGTTTAGATATGACAGGTTTAGATATGACAGGTTTAGATATGACAGGTTTAGATATGACAGGTTTAGACAGGTTTAGATATGACAGGTTTAGATATGACAGGTTTAAACAGGTTTAGATATGACAGGTTTAGATATGACAGGTTTAGATATGACAGGTTTAGATATGAAAGGTTTAGATATGAAAGGTTTAGACAGGTTTAGATATGACAGGTTTAGATATGACAGGTTTAAACAGGTTTAGATATGACAGGTTTAGATATGACAGGTTTAGATATGACAGGTTTAGATATGAAAGGTTTAGACAGGTTTAGATATGACAGGTTTAGATATGACAAGTTTAGATATGACAGGTTTAGATATGACAGGTTTATATATGACAGGTTTAGATATGACAGGTTTAGATATGACAGGTTTAGATATGACAGGTTTAGATATGACAGGTTTAGATATGACAGGTTTAGATATGACAGGTTTAGACAGGTTTAGATATGACAGGTTTAGATATGACAGGTTTAGATATGACAGGTTTAGAAATGACAGGTTTAGATATGACAGGTTTATATATGACAGGTTTAAACAGGTTTAGATATGACAGGTTTAGATATGACAGGTTTAGATATGACAGGTTTAGATATGACAAGTTTAGATATGACAGGTTTAGATATGACAGGTTTATATATGACAGGTTTAGATATGACAGGTTTAGATATGACAGGTTTAGATATGACAGGTTTAGATATGACAGGTTTAGATATGACAGGTTTAGACAGGTTTAGATATGACAGGTTTAGATATGACAGGTTTAGATATGACAGGTTTAGATATGACAGGTTTAGAAATGACAGGTTTAGATATGACAGGTTTATATATGACAGGTTTAAACAGGTTAGATATGACAGGTTTAGATATGACAGGTTTAGATATGACAGGTTTAAACAGGTTTAGATATGACAGGTTTAGATATGACAGGTTTAGATATGACAGGTTTAAACAGGTTAGATATGACAGGTTTAGATATGACAGGTTTAGATATGACAGGTTTAGATATGACAGGTTTAGATATGACAGGTTTATATATGAAAGGTTTAGATATGACAGGTTTAGATATGACAGGTTTAGATATGACAGGTTTAGTGATCTGACCTGGAGTTGTCCTCATTAGCAAACATCATAATGGCCCGGGCATTGTTGTCTCCCCTGAGAAGGCTGTCGACGATAGATCTTAACTTAGTGTCGTCTGCCCCTCGGGGAATGCTCTCAGCGCGGGAAATGCACAGTCCTAAAGACATGAGAGGGGAAGGGGGAGGGGGAGGTGTCATTGAACAAGAACATATTTAGAAGGGTTTGTTTCAGGATTTGGGGTGAGGGGGCTATTGGTTTAACGGATTGGTACTAGTGTTTTAAATTATTGGTAGGGGTCTAACAGCTTTAGAGGGGTCTAACATTTTAGAAGTGTCTAACATCTTGACAAGGGTCTAATATATTTAGAGGGGATATATATATATATATATATATATATATATATATATATATATATATATATATATATATATATATATATATATATATATATATATATATATATATATATATATATATATATATATATATATAATATTATTATATATATATATATATATATATATATATATATATATATATATATATATATATATATATATATATATATATATATAGGCCTATATATATATATATATATACTAGCCATCAGTACCCGTTTCACGTGAATTATAGGCCTTTATATTTCAAAATGTTGAACTTGTTTGAAAAAAATAATTTATAAAATAGTTTTTGGTCAAAACGCAATGTGCATTACTAGACGCTGAACGATATTACTGACAAAGCAAAGAAATAACTAAGTAGCTAAAAATCCGACACATGTAACATAACACAGGCACACACTGATTAAGTGACTTAAATGATTCCGTTAAAAACTCGGCTATTCCACTGTATTCTTCTTGTTTTTAAAGTGATTTATTTTTATTAGGTTTTTATTAATAGATCTATGGATTTAAATGAAATAGTTCATTTCTTCATCGGTAACCATACCATATTAAATGCACTCGCTGATTAAGAAACTTAAAATTAAGAGACTTAAAAGATTTCTTTAAAAACCCAGCTATTCAATGGTATTTCATAGCGTACGTAAAATCTAGCTCTAAATCATATTTGAATGAAATAGTTAATATCTTTATTTTATTCTAAACTAGGAAGATGACGTCATCAGTTTCGTGCTCTTTTTTTTGTGTAAACAATAAGCGACGACATTGTGAAATGCGTTCTTGTCCCAAGTATAAACACTTTTCCGGTTGCATAAATAAATTGTTTTTCTAAATTCGAATACGCCTTTATTTTTTATTTTTCTTCTTTAAATAAAATTGTGGTTGTACATTTAAAACATCTAACATATTATTTTCAACAAAAGTCCGTATAAAGTTCTTCATATATCGCTGCAGATTCTGATGTGATGTCCGGCGAAAAAATTTCAGCCGATCAAACACTATTTTCAATGAAAGACTCAATGAAATTATCAATGACAGAGTCAATGATAACTACCGCTCTCCTGTATTTTTCTCTTAAGAAACTCAATGATCAAGCGTTAGTAGTTATAAAGAGAGAGTTTATCAAAACGGAAATAATTCAACTCGTTTAATTAATAAAGCGTTAAACTTAATTATTAATCCTTAATTTCTCAGCGATTGATACAATTGTTTAGGGACAGTTAAACAATTTTTTTAAAAATATAGATCCTCGATCTTCATTTATAATTTATTAATTAAAATAAGATTTTTAAAAAATAATTAAAACAGGTCTTTGTACTATATTATTAAAAAAAACAACTAATGAATATAATAAATAATTTTGACTATTTCTCATTCTAAACCTATCGAATATCTTTTTTTTTTAAATGCAAGGTAATCTTTTGTAGAACCTACATGATTAACTTTTCTTCTAATAATTAAAAAAACTCTAAATAAAAACTATTATTCCTACAAATATTAGAGTAGTCTCCCTTGACAGTTTCTATTCGAATGTATTTTGTGTTAATTTTCGTTATGAAATACAGTTGACTTTTTAAATAAATTATATAAGAAAACAATCTATCTCTGTGTATATTTATTAAAAAAAAATATTATTACAATAATTAGAATAGGTGTTACTGGTTAAATAGCAATTATTCTCATTCTAAATCTTTGGCTATCGAGTTTCATGGGTTTTTAAATTTAAGATTATGAACACATTGGCTTGACGAAAATGATTATATACACTTAAATACATACTAAAATTTACTTTTGTTAATAAACCTACACTATTTTATGCACACATACAAAAAAGAATATTTTAGCGGCAGTTACAACGTCAAAAAAAAAAAGGAAACTCCTTTATACTGAATAGTTCTACGTAACAACAAAAATGTAAAAATACATAGTCCTAGAGCACACTAACACATAAATATATACATACGAAGATATGTGTGTGTGTAAGTAGGATGTTAGGTGTGTAGACAGGCGGGGTGGAAGGAAAGCAGTTTGGCAGGAATAACGGTAGGTAGGAAAGTAGGTAGGCAGGCAGCAGCGCAGGCAGGTTAGTAGATAGGTAGGTACGTAGGCAGGGAGTTAGGTATGTAGGTAGGTGGGCCTAGGTAGGAAGGCGCCTCACTCGGTATAGTGAGCGATTATAGTAGCCCATCATATTCATAGCGTTTCGCAATTATTAAAATGAACAAAGGTACCATAGTACTCACGGGAAAACCCGGGGAGCTAAATGGAACCCTGCCAGGGCGCCACCAAATCGAATTTTTTTTCGTAGAAACCACCACAGGGGTATTAGCATTAACTTCTCAAATTTGAATGACGAACGAATGAAATCTTTGATAATGCTTAAACAAACAAACCCACATATTCGTTTTTGGGGCGCGGGTTTGTCCACACTGCCGCCTAGACGCACCAAGGCTCACTGTATGAAAGCCTTGAGTGTACGTTAATCAACCTCTGTAATAGTGAGGTAGAACACACATTGGCGACCGCCCGTGTGTTAGAGACGCGTCCCTTGGCGCTCCAGGGAGCCACTGGTTATATTTCCGCAGGGGCGCCCCTAATTCGGTTTAATTATAAAATGTCGTGTGCCACCGTGTCCCTATTGTAGGGTGCTCTTTAAGGAGGCACTCTCTGTAGAGCCCGGGGCGCTCGCTGTCGCCAACTGCCAGGGCGCCGGCGGGCGCTCATTATTCTACTTAGTGAACATTTATAGTAGCCCATCTAAACCGTAGTGTCGCCCGAGATGGGTCTTGGCTGCTCTGGGCCACTCAACCGCCGGGGAGCTGGCGGATAAACCTGGTGTAGTTTTATCACTGAATCTCAGAGGCGTAGCACCATTCCTGGCGCCTGGGGACAAATTTTCAATTTGGCGCCCCCCCCCCCCCTCCCGCCGGAGACAAACTTTCAATTTGGTGCCCCATCCCCTTATTTTTAAAATATTTATAATGCAAAACTATAGTTAAAATGAGCTTTTAAATTTTTCCAACCATTTTGGCGCCCCTAGGGTTGGCGCCCGGGGACATATGTACCCCCCGCCCCCCTCGCTGCGCCTCTGCTGAATCTAGTATTACCTATGACCGCAATTGATGAGATAGCCCCTCTGGATTCTTCTCTGGATTCTGAGCTCATAATCGTATAATTAGAAAAAATCGAACCCTCCCAGGGTGCCACACTTAAGAATTTTTTTCTTTCTCGAAACCCTTTTCACCAACTACCCAAAATTTTATGACTCTCGTACGAACAGTGTCAAATTGCATCTTTTATTTTTATGGAGAAAAATTGCATTGCTTCCTGTCAGAGACCCCAGATCGAATGGGGCGCCAAAAGGGGTAGACAATTTTTTAAAAAATCCTCATTCTTCAGTAAAATTTAAGAAAACAGATTTATACATGGCTGATATCCTCAATTATTTTATATAGGGGAGTGTATGTAGGGATGGGCGCCTTTTTGCCAGCGTTTGAATAGGGTTGGCACATAATTGATAGTTCGCCCCGGCTGCCGGAATAGGTTGCTACGCTTCTGCTTCCTGCTAGGGTGCCGCCCTGGCGAAATCTTTCCGGGGGGGGGGGGGGCGTGCGGACACTGTTAAAAGTATTTTTTTCTATATAAATTCCGTTTCGTTCGGGGGTGGGGGGTCGATAGACTTTCTTCGGGGGGTGGGGGGCTCTGCTTCCCCCCCCCCCCCCCCCCCCCTCCGAATAGATTCCTGGAAAAAACTCTGTTCACAAAGTTTTATGGCGATCCGATGAAAAAGATGTAGTAATTCATATAGGACAAACAGATAAACATACTTTCATTTCTATAAATATAAATAGATATATAGGGCCTACTTTAACTAGTGTCAGCATACCCGCACCCGGAAACTTAGTCACAATTTTCTTTGTTACATTTGAACCCTTTAGGTTAATCAATATTAACAAAATTGAACAAGATGCAACAAATACAGTTAACCAAGAAATTGAATAAATAAAATTCACGTTATCTTTTTATTGTTTTTAGATATAGAGTAGTAACAGACTACCTACAGGTCCTAACTCGCGACGAGGTACACATTTGTATTAAAACACACATCTAAGACATTTTCCATTTAGGTAGGTTTTGCAGTACAGTGGTTTCTTAAGTCGTGGACAAGTGATTGCGCTTATCTCTGTTGAGTAGCTATGTATTCTGTCCTATATTAGACACATTGGTAAATATCTGTCACAATATGGGCATAGAGATGATATAACGATAGCTTATCTTTGCGGACAACGCTAAACTTTGGCATCGACACCACGGCCTACAAGTTCAAATTCGGTCCTTCAGAAATGTTTGAAGTCTCTAGATTAAAACTACTTTTCTCTTTTATGTACCTACTGACCACATCACATGCATTTGTTCTGAAAGTCTAAAAACAGAGGCACAAATATATCGTCTAGACTTGTGAGGTCTACAGATTAGGTATTTTGGCAGTTATCTAAGCCCTTGCCTGTTCTGACTCAAAGCCTTATTCTTTCTCTATCGACGCCTTGCGTAACATGGGATTGGGTTTTTAAGGCGGCATAAAGCTTTATAATGTTCCTTTTTGAGTACACTAGATTAAAAACTAACGTTTTCAGATGCCTAAAGATGTTTAACCACTAATTAATCAGAATAATGGGTCAAGATTTCAATTCTTGGTTTTGGGACACGTTAGTTGCCGGGGTTGAGCTAATGTCGATAGCATAAGGACTGTACCTTGATGCGGGCCTTTTATTTGTTGCCCATCGTAATAATTGAATGGTTGATGGGGCTTCTTCAAGGGTTTAATTTCCCGTAATGTTAATGATATCATGCATGTGCGGCTTTTCTAAGAAGAAAATGCGTTTAAACACTTTTTAGTTATGCTTTTTTTAAATAGGCCTATATTTTACGACATCATAATCGTAATGAACAATAAAATGAATTTAAACAACTTTAGAATACACCTGTTTCGGCTAACATGAATGTTATTCTTCAAACTAGTAATGTTAAACGTGTCTTTTTCGCATTTTTGACTTATAAGCAATACAGTAAATTCCGATAATGTCCATATGCATACAAGCAATGGCGTAGGCGAGGAGGGGTTTAATAGTGATTTAATAATGATACTTTCTTAACCCTCTACTGGACATCATGTTTGGTACCTTGCCCCCGGCAACTGGGTGGATTTGGATTACACCCAAGTTTTACTTCATAGTAAATGGCTTCAGTTTTAATTATTGGAGTTGGTAGCAACATTGACACAGTTGAAGGTATTCAGAACAAGGTGGCCAGGAGAAATCACATTAATTAGTATATAATTTACCATTACTAACAATAGGCCCTACTTAATTGTTTAATGTTGCTGGATATTTATGTTTATTAATTTGTACAGAAACAAAAAAAGGATTCCCAAACAAAGTTTTATTTTTCAGAAATAAAGAAAATGATACAAATCAATAAAGAACAGTTTTCAAAAGAATTTGTATAAAAGTAATTATTATAAAATAAGAATATAGTATTGCATAGATAAAAATAAAATACTTGACACAAACAATATGAGGAATATTTTTTATCAGAGAAGAGAAAAATATATGATGTAGTTTGAAAATAATAATGTACAGAATGTAGCTTTTGCAGATTAAAATGAAAATTCTCATGCCTATATAATTAATTGAGTAAATGAAGCAAGACCCAAAACAATAGGCTAAATAATATGCATGGGACAGGCATTGAAAACTACAAATTGCATATAGTGAAGGTTAGCCTATTTATTGGCTATATCCACGTTAAAGATGTATGGCTTTATTACCTGCTTGTAAAATTGTTAAGGAAAAAGTAAAGTATTGTTAACTTTTTATGGCAGACCAACTACGGGCTGTGTTCTGGGAACATGTCATCTGTAAGGGGCATTGTTCTCGGCACATGTTGTCATTTTTTGTGTTCTCGGCACATGTTGCCATTTTGTGTGTTCTGGGAACATGTTGACATTATGTGGCTGTGTTCTGGGAACATGTTGACATTATGTGGCTGTGTTCTGGGAACATGTTGACATTATGTGGCTGTGTTCTGGGAAAATGTTGACATTATGTGGCTATGTTCTGGGAACATGTTTGTTTCATTTTAAATATTATAATAATACATTTTTAGAAATTCTATATTAGGAATTGTGTATATATATAAATTTATATATTTAATAAGACAATTGGATGAATTATAATAAACAGCAAAAATGATTCAAATAAGTTTAGAAGTATTTGGCTTGCTGTCCTAACAGTGAACTGTATTGCGAGCTTGTTTCCCTAGTGATAACCCATGTTTTTTGTGCGACCCTTCCAATCAAGTATCCAGCTTTTTCTTGGCCTGTATCAAAATGCTGGTCAGACTTGCTTGACTTGTGTATCACAATATGATTTTGAATGTTTTTCTGTAAATGAAATAAAGGCAAAATATTTTGATACTTTCTTTTGTGGAACTTGCAAGAAAAATAAATTACAAATTTATATTACTATCTCTAATATTTCTTTACTATAACTAATTACTTTGAAAAGATAAAGCACTGAACATGATGAATAACAAGAAACAAACATTATCAGCAAAGATTATAGATTTAAAATTGTGTTCATTCATATTGAAGATTAATGAAGTAGACTATCAATATTTACCCTCTTGATGGCTGATACTTTGAATTGATGTCTTTACTTTAAGCTTACACATCAGTCTCTGTGTGGTAAAATATGAAATAATATGCTTCAATAAAACTGTTTCAGTATATTAATTATATTAGATAAGTACATAGTTTTGAGCTCTATAACAATATGTGTTTCAATTATCATTCAAATATAATACCCTCTATGTTGTACAACTCACTGATTTATTAGAATTTAAAAAAAGACAATAATTAATAAAATATTTTGGATTAAAATCCATTATATTTATTATAACATACAATGCTATCTCTTGCTATAATAATTACTTTAAAAAATGGGTTATGCCTATAGTACAGTAACCTGAGGATGAAACTAGGCACAGTGTATAGTCCACGGAGACTGATTAATATCCCTTGTAATTGAACATCTTTTGTAGTTATGAAATCTGGATGGCCAAACACACACTCATAGTCCTGAAAAGCAATTTACACATAGATTAGCAAGAATATCTCACAAATTATTGAATTAAAGCTAACCCCTATTTAGTGCAATCCATCAAAGTAGTAGCATTTTTCGTTAAGTTGTAGACACAATACAAAGTAATGTTTGGTCTGTGATTTACATACTTTTATAAAATAGCAAATCAAATTATATATATATATATATATATATATATATATATATATATATATATATATATATATATATATATATATATATATATATATATTCATTGTAAATTTTAGCTATGTCTTGCTATTAAATTTATTTACTCGACTGATCTAAACTCACTTTATTTAAACATAATATAGTGGATGAGTATAGTGATTTTATTATTCAGCAATAAATAGCAGGCCTAAAAAAAATTAAATAGTAACGTTTGCGAATGAACACATTAAATTCTATGTATTTCCATTTCTATATCTTTCCCAACTTGATGCATATTACTAACCAAGCATTAAACTATAGTCCTAAACCTGACTCTAATTACCATTTATTGGACAACCTGAACCTTTGCGATACCATGTTATAATATATTATTTTAAAGAGCTTACCACTAATTACTAAAATCAATTGTTTTTAGTATTAACTGAGCCGCATACTATCTGCTGCTATTGTCATCACCAGAAATCCAGTATATTGGCAGAGATTAGTCTCTAAGTTCCCTGCAACCTCTTTCCTCTCGAGTGCGGAAAACACTGAAATCATTAATCATTATTTCCTTATGCCTAATAGTTTAAAGGTCGTATTAAAGTAGTACTAAATAGTACGAGTCTAAGTTACTATATGTCTAATGATAATTATTATTGTGTATGCTTACATGCTTTAAGTTTTATGCACAATATTGGTATAATATATAGTCTATAGTATATAGCCTAAGCTATAGAGTATACAGGCCTATGAGCCTAAATATAACAGCAGCTTGAATAATGCTCATTAGCATGCATTCACTATAAACTATAAAGATAATCAAATATTACAATTTAATTAAATTATAACTAATAGGCCTAATAGTAAATAGGCTTTTTTCTTGTGGCAACAAATTTAAAGTATAGGGCAGTACAGTTATAGTATAGGCCTTCTAGATTCTATATTTAAGTATGTGGGCTTTTCATTCCAATGCACCACAATAGATACCACACATGATCAAGCTGGACCTCTGATCTAAAGATTTAATAATTGGGCCTAACAAACAGTGAAACTACAATAAAAATCATGTAAATTACTAATTTAACCTTCTTACCTCCGCTTCTCTAGATTCCTATTCTATTTCCTTCAAACTTTCTTTTTATGCAGCCGTATGATTAGATTCTAGACTATATTCTAATAAACATGAAATAACTACTAACCAGAACACTAGATCTAAATTTCTATATTCTAAGCAATATGTATTAAACCTATAGGCCTAATATTTATTTTAAATTCCTATGCGATGTGTCGTGAACTGTAGGTTTCATGTTATTTTTTTAATGGCGGAAATCAGTTTAAAATTTCGTTTCCTTCCTTTTGTTATTCTATTTATAGATTCAAACTGCTTAGAGACGGAGCAATTATCATTGAGTTAGTCGTCTGATCCACACAGGAAGTGCGGGTATATCTATTTGTTACTCAGTGATCTGATCATTGACAAAAACAGAGATAGCCATTCGCATGGGGTGAAAAATTTTGCGGACAGAGAGAGAGAGAGAGAGAGAGAGAGAGAGAGAGAGAGAGAGAGAGAGGAGAGAGAGAGAAGTGCGCCACCCCATGCGAATGGCTATCTCTGTTTCTGTCAATGATCAGATCACTGAGTAAGTAATAGATATACGGTCACAATTCCTGTGTGGATCAGCCGACTAACTCAATGATAATTGCTCCGACTCTAAATCTATAAATAGAATAACAAAAGGAAGGAAACGAAATTTTAAACTGATTTCCGCCATTACAAAAATAACATGAAACCTACAGTTCACGACACATCGCACAGGAATTTAAAATAAATATTAGTATTATTAGGCCTATAGGTTTAATACATATTGCATAGAATATAGAAATTTAGATCTAGTGTTCTGGTTAGTAGTTATTTCATGTTTATTAATTTATAATATAGTCTAGATTCTAGAATCTAATCATACGGCTGCATAAAAAGAAAACCCATCTAGAGAAGCGGAGGTAAGAAGGTTAAATTAGTAATTTACATGATTTTTATTGTAGTTTCACTGTTTGTTAGGCCCAATTATTAAATCTTTAGATCAGAGGTCCAGCTTGATCATGTGTGGTATCTATTGTGGTGCATTGGAATGAAAAGCCCGCATACTTAAATATAGAATCTAGTAGGCCTATACTATAACTGTACTGCCCTATACTTTAAATTTGTTACCACAAGAAAAAAAGCCTATTTACTATTATTAGTTATAATTAAATTAAATTGAAATATTTGTTTATCTTTATAGTTTATAGTGAATGCATGCTTATGAGCATTATTCAAGCTGCTGTTATATTTAGGCTTATAGGCCTATATACTCTATAGCTTAGGCTATATACTATAGACTATATATTATATACCAATATTGTGCATAAAACTTAAAGCATATAAGCATACACAATAATAATTATCATTAGACCTATAGTAACTAAGACTCGTACTATTTAGTACTACTTTAATACTACCTTTAAACTATTAGGCATAATGAAATAATGATTAATGATTTCAGTGTTTTCCGCACTCGAGAGGAAAGAGGTTGCAGGGAACTTAGAGACTAATCTTTGCCAACATACTGGATTTCTGGTGATGACAATAGCAGCAGATAGTATGCGGCTCAGTTAATACTAAAAACAATTGATTTTAGTAATTAGTGGTAAGCTCTTTTTTAAAATAATATATTATAACATGGTATCGCAAAGGTTCAGGTTGTCCAATAAATGGTAATTAGATTCAGGTTTAGGACTACAGTTTAATGCTTGGTTAGTAATATGCATCAAGTTGGGAAAGACATAGAAATGGAAATACATAGAATTTAATGTGTTCATTCGCAAACGTTACTATTTAAATTTTTTTAGGCCTGCTATTTATTGCTGAATAATAAAATCACTATACTTATCCACTATATTATGTTTAAATAAAGTGAGTTTAGATCAGTCGAGTAAATAAATTTAATAGCAAGACATAACTAAAATTTACAATGAATATATATATATATATATATATATATATATATATATATATATATATATATATATATATATATATATATATATATATATATTGCTATTTTATAAAAGTATGTAACTCACTGAACAAACATTACTTTGTATTGTGTCTACAACTTAACAAAAATGCTACTACTTTGATGGATTGCACTAAATAGGGGTTAGCTTTAATTTAATAATTTGTGAGATATTCTTGCTAATCTATATGTAAATTGCTTTTCAGGACTATGAGTGTGTGTTTGGCCATCCAGATTTCATAACTACAACTGATGTTCAATTACAAGGGATATTAAACAGTCTCTGTGGACTATACACTGTGCCTAGTTTCATCCTCAGGTAACTGTACTATAGGCATAACCCATTTTTTAAAGTAATTATTATAGCAAGAGATAGCATTATATGTTATAATAAATATAATCGATTTTAATCCAAAATATTTTATTAGTTATTGTCTTTTCTTAAATTCTAATAAATCAGTGAGTTGTACAACATAGAGGGTATTATATTTGAATGATAATTGAAACACATATTGTTATAGAGCTCAAAACTATGTACTTATCTAATATAATTAATATACTGAAACAGTTTTATTGAAGCATATTATTTCATATTTTACCACACAGAGACTGATGTGTAAACTTAAAGACATCAAATCAAAGTATCAGCTATCAAGAGGGTAAATATTGATAGTCTACTTCATTAATCTTCAATATGAATGAACACAATTTTAAATCTATAATCTTAGCTGATAATGTTTGTTTCTTGTTATTCATCATGTTCAGTGCTTTATCTTTTCAAAGTAATTAGTTATAGTAAAGAAATAGTAGAGATAGTAATATAAATTTGTAATGTATTTCTCTTGCTAGTTCCACAAAAGAATATATCAAAATATTTTGTCTTTATTTCATTTACAGAAGAACAATCAAAATCATATTGTGATACACAAATCAAGCAAGTCTATGACCAGCATTATGATACAGGCCAAGAAAAGGCTGGATATTTGATTGGAAGGGTGGCACAAAAAAGATGGGTTATCACTAGGGAAACAAGCTCGGAATACAGTTCACTGTTGGGACATCAAGCCAAATACTTCTAAACTTATTTGAATCATTTTTGCTGTTTATTATAATTCATCCAATTGTCTTATTAAATATATTAATTTATATATATACACAATTCCTAATATAGAATTTCTAAAAATGTTTTATTATAATATTTAAAAATGAAACAAACATGTTCCCAGAACACAGCCACATAATTTCAACATGTTCCCAGAACACACAAAATGGCAACATGTTCCCAGAACACACAAATGGCAACATGTTCCCAGAACACAGCCAAATAATGTCAACATGTTCCATGAACTCACAAAATGGCAACATGTTCCCAGAACACACAAAATGGCAACATGTGCCGAGAACACAAAAAATGACAACATGTGCCGTTAACAATACTTCACTTTTTCCTTAACAATTTTACAAGCAGGTAATAAAGCCATACATCTTTAACGTTATTATTTTCAAACTACATCATATATTTTTCTCTTCTCTGATAAAAAATATTCCTCATATTGTTTGTGTCAAGTATTTTATTTTTATCTATGCAATGCTATATTCCTATTTTATAATAATTACTTTTATACAAATTCTTTTGAAAAATTTTCTTTATTGAATTGTATCATTTTCTTTATTTCTGAAATATAAAACTTTGTTTGGGAATCCTTTTTTTTTTTCTGTACAATAAACATAAATACCTACCAGGCTTAATATCCAGCAACATTAAACAATTAAGTAGGGCCTATTGTTAGTAATGGTAAATTTTATACTAATTAATGTGATTTCTCCTGGTCACCTTGTTCTGAATACCTTCAGCTGTGTCAATGTTGCTACAACTCCAATAATAAAAACTGAAGTCATTTACTATGAAATAAAACTTGGGTGTAATCCAAATCCACCCAGTTGCCGGGGGCAAGGTACCAATGATGATGTCCAGTAGAGGGTTAAGAAAGTATCATTATTAAATCACTATTAAACCCCTCCTCGCCTACGCCATTGCTTGTACGCATATGGACGTTATCGGAATTTACTGTATTGCTTATAAGTCGAAAATGCGAAAAAGACACGTTTAACATTACTAGTTTGAAGAATAACATTCATGTTAGCCGAAACAGGTGTATTCTAATGTAACCCTCACTCAGTGGGGATGCTTTTACCCACTGAGGTGTTGTGGTTTAAGACGGGCTGACCCTGAGATTAAGTACACACCGACGCCGACAGTTGTTGTCAAGTACTCGTTTATTTATAGCATCGAGCCATGACGGCGATGCAACACAAACCGAACTAGCCAAGATAGACCAAAAGATCCAAACAATCCAAAAGACCAAAAGATCAAAAGATCAAAAGATCAAAATAGAAACAGAAAAACTGTAGCCCTAAAACAAATGTAAAATAAAAAAGTTACATTCAGGACAACACCACGTGTAAGCTACAATATACACGGGTACAATAAATTATGTTTTCGGCCAGTACACAGTACTGCCAACAAGTACCAATAAGTAGTACTACAAAATAAATACTTAATTTAATACATCACCCTAACTAGTGTGCACATGCAGCACTAGCAGGAATACATAAGTATTTAAACAAACATAATTTATATATCTACACTACCTTCATTAGGTCTACATCTTGGTCCACAGACAGCAGCCTTGCGTGTGCGACACGACTAGGCACATGTCACATGACATGGAACACAGGTAATTTCGCTCACAAAAGCATAAAAAAACGTCAACAGTTCAGTTGCAGTCCCACAGGGGCCGCAACCCAATGAATAAAAACTTCATAGTTTTATCCCCCTTTTGGCTGGTAACTATATGTGTTACACAGCCCCCCTCACAAATAAATGTACAATGGAATTCACATTTACATTTACATTTACACTCATACATAATAGTACTAAAAAAAGTTCACTAGTACACAGACATTAAGTCCTTTCAACTTAAATAGATTATTCCCGGCAAACCGGTAGAGGCTCCAGTGCTGGTACTGGTCACCACTTGATGCGCCAGGTTGAGTCGCTCGACGGGTCGTCGTTGACGGGTTGACCTCCGCAGCTCCGCTGGTGGTTCTGGGTTGATCCAAGAGTCATCCTCGTCCGATGCCTCGTCCCTCGCATTCACCTCATCCAGATGTGGGGCTGGCCTGACCATCACCTTGTCTTGTCCGTCCCGGGCGACAACCTCTGGCACGAAAGGCGTTGCCTCCGGCCGAAGTCTAGTTGGGACCACTACCATTGATTGTCAGTTCCTCACCGTCATCTGCCTCACTGGTTGGGATGATCTCTCTCCGTCGCTCCCCCTCCGCCACAGTTGGTTCAGCACTCGACATTGTATAGTCGGGTC